ATTTACTGAAGATAATCATGAAGATAGGGATTATAAAAATCGACCGGGATCGAATCCTCTATCCCGGACGCACTACAGAAGCCTGGTAGCCCCAACAGCACCCTAAACGCATTTATATTATTATTCTCTGTATTTAATTAAATATACATATAGATTACATCTTTAAATATATTTATGTGCGAAAAATACAAAATACAAAAAATAGTGTCCCACCGATATCGGGTACAGGTGGTTAGAACTCCAGAGACAGAAACCTCCTCACCATACGTGCCGTATCGAGAAACACTGTTTTCTTCATCAGGACCTTAATACAACTGCCTAACCGCCAACCTCTGAAGATGTTGGTCGAGGAATCCACATTCAACATATCGACAATCTCCTGAGATAAATCCAAATATTTTATTTGTTTTTCTTTTTGACTTGTTTACTATGACTACTACCTTGTTTACTATGATCTACTCGTCATGAGGAACGGCGATATCAACAATCATTGCGCGACGCTCTAATCGATCTATCACCACAATATCAGACTTATTGGTAACAATAGTCCTGTCTGTGATAATAGATCAATCCCAATACAATGTGGCCCGACCATTCTCGAGAACTGAGTCTTGCACATACCTGTAGTATAGGCAAGCTGTTGGTGTACGATCCTGGCTATTTGGTTGGACCTGTTTAAATATTTACCGTTAGAGAGACGAGCACAACCAGAAATAATATGCCTAATTGATGCCCCAGGACGGTGGCATGGCCGACAGTTTTTTTTTTTATTATTATTATGTTGGACAGACCATTTACCGAAAAAGACTATAAATCATGTTATGACCAATACAAGTCCAGTATCATTGAAAAATTACGAAAAACTGAGAAATTTTATTCCTTTTGAGAGACAGGCAAAGCTGAGTGGGTCACCTAGAAATTAATGAAACAAAATTGATGTTGCTGAAAATAATTTAATCTGACAATTGACAAAATTCTTATGAACAGTCTTAAGATTTACTTTTAGCCATGTATATTATATAATATATTATTGCAATTAAATGTAAATGCAATTGCAAATTAATTAATTAAAAAATTAGTTTCTTAGATGATGTTATAATTAATAATAAAAATATTGTACTGCATTCGAACAGCTGGTCTCACCATCTAGTCCCAAATTGTCCCAACTGATATAAATACATTTTTTTGTGGTAGTGCTCCCGCCAAGTCGCGCAGGTAAAGCAAGAACATAGCCGTTTCACTCTTATCTTACAGCCATTCAGGATATTTTTGATTTGTTTGTGTATAAATCTGTAAGCCTGAATTATTTATTTCCTTAAATATCCCACTTCCTGGATATACAAACTGCATAAATACTTTTGTAATACTATAAATGGACATGGTACATCAATTAGTATTACTATGATACTATACTATTAAAAATTGTAGATTTTCTTAACTTAGTTACGATGGCCAAATTCTCTGATATATTAAAGAAAAATCAAGTGTTTAATAACGTTGCTAGACTTAGACTTTTAGTAACTTATGTATTCGATTAGATAAATTGTTCGAGATTTAAAAATTAAACAAAAGACGTAAACTCTTGGTTATGTTTATCATGACATATAAGACAATCCTTTATATACATATATTTTTAAAATATCACATGATTTTTTTGAATTTTGAGCAAAACAATTAGTTTTTACAAGCTAGACAATTTAAACCTTATCATAAACTGCTTAAGATTTAAAGTGACAAACTCGCACAATATTATCATATAAATTAAAAGCTCTTATATAAATTAACAAATTTATTTTCTTTATATCACAAAGCGGTAATATTAGGCACTCATTTAATTTGTATGAATAATTATATTATTAACCAGACAATGATTTTTATTCAATTAGATTTTCACATTTGTATAAAAGAGCAATTTCGTTATTTAGGTACTTATGCTAACAACTCACAATTTTATTACTTACAAACCTTCCTATGTGTCCATGATCTATTTATTTTTCAGAGCTGCTACCGTTTCCTACGATTTCTCTTCTTATCACCAGAGCGGCAGAAGGAAAGTTATGTTTTTATTGTGTTTGTGTTGTTGTTTGTGTGTATGTTATTTTCTTCAATGAGAGTTGAATAATATACTCAGATAAATATGACTTACATTGTTTTAGTTTGATACTTATAGAACTATATCATCACTTATTATTTTATTAATCTTTTTCTATTACTTAAATATAAACAACAACATTACCATTAAAGCACTTAGAAATCTATTAATTACGTAACTTGCTTACACTTTAAAAGCTTTTAGTAAGAACACTTTTAACGATATGTGTTAATTCACTAAACACTATTTAAAGACTTGTGTTTGTGTGATCAATTGAATAGAATTGAAATCAATTTAATATTTCACATTTATACAAAAATAATGATTTGATACCATTTAAAGCAAAAAACAAGCAACGCTAACATTAAATATCCGTACTTTTGGGATTAACCAACCAATTATTTGTGTATGCGTTATGTTATAATAAAAAGGACGTATTCGTTAACTTTTGAAAAAAGCGAGGAATACCTGTGGGGCTTTTGAAGAAATATAAAAGAAAAAGTTTATTTGTGTTATGTGTCTGTATTTTAGGTAAGGGTGTGGTGGAACGGATTTTATGTCCCTAAAACACAAAGGGAGAGAATCCTTCGGCCTCGCCGTTTATTAGTTGGTTGCTAATCAGAGTGGGAACTTTTCATATCGCGGTATATGATTAGCAGTTACTCTGTAGTTCGGTGTGTCTCCTTGAGATGGCACTGAACTATGTTCTTTGTGTTATAATATATGTGGAAGTTGCCACAAGGGTGAAATGCTACCTTTTTTACATACGGTGTATCTTGTAGTCGTATAGTCACTTACATTGCTGAAACATATCCTCAGGTATTAAATTAAAAATTCGGTTTTAGTGATAAGGTGGAGAAATACAATTAGGTGACAAAATGGTCATTTATTTAAAAATAATAAAATACACAACTATCAGGAATCAGATTCAAATGGCGTTGAGTTGAGTTATACTTTGTATTAAAGAAAATTTTATGAAAAATAAAACAATGGTTTTGTTAAAAAAAATATATTTTATGTTGGTATCTAATTAGGCCACACATCAGTTTAAACAACTGACTAGTTAAGGCTAAGTAATTAGTAAAATTATTTTTGATACGTTTTCTTTCATTATTTTTAGACATGGCAATTTAGGCACTTAATGATGCGAAACGCAATTCATTCGACTCAATCGAATCAATCACACTATCTAGATTTTTCGTATATTATTAAAATATACTAATTTAAAACTTTACATAGGTAAACATTAATTTGATGAATAAAATTAATAGCAATGTAGTAATTTTAGAGTAAAAAAAAACTACCGTCAATCACAGTTAAATTGTGATCGAACCTTCTTGTTCTGCATCAACTTTTTTGTTCACCTTTAAATTTTTTTTTATCGCAACTACAACAATATTATGACTTCAGTTACGCCTATCAACTTATAAAAAAGGAAAGTAAAAAAACTATAAAGAAGTCAATAGCGAAAAAAAAATATTAAGTACATGCAAGTTTACATGGGAATAAGTAAAATTTGATCAACAAAATGGAGGATGGATATAAAAAATATATCACTGCACTATTATTTTGTAGTAAGTACTATTTCATTAGTAAAGTTACTAAATTCTACAACAAATCAGAACAGGTAACAAATTTACAACAAGTATATAAATATTACCGAGCATGACACACCCTCTGAGGGCCAATAAGTTTGTATCACATCAACTCGATCGTCACGCTATCGGCGCTGCGATTGGTCAGCACTGAAACCGCACCAATCACAACGCCGAACGCGTTCGCCGTCGAGAGCCAGTTGATCTCAAATAAACTATTAATTATTATTATTAATTATTTACAAATGATTAAAACTTAGAATAATAACGCATATAAGGATAGTTTCATTTCAAAAAACCGTCGAGTTTGTGGCAAAAACACAATAGATGTAGGCGTAAGTCACGCGTATTTACGCTTGGCGACACGCATACTAGCGTACAAGTAATGTTGCTATCGGAATCAGATTTTCCCCAACAGTAGGGAAATTGGAACTGCCACTTCCTAAAGTCGTTAGAGGTTTCTACACTCACAAAAAGGGATTTCTTTTTTAATTTTATGGATGAAAATCTGAAATAAGTAATTTATATTCTTACACAATGCCTATATATATTACTAACTAAAAACTTTTCTAGTATTAAATGGCCATGATTTTATCAATTACTTAATAAATATATTTCAATAATGTATTAACTAATATTTTGTATATTAAAAAGTTGCTAAAAACATCACATAATGAATGGACGACGCCTATTCAGTAAAACTAAGAATAGTCTTAAGTTCAATTTCACTATTCCACCGAATTATAATCAAAATTTATTTTATTAATACTGGCCATTCAGTGTCAAGGCTTCCTATGCAAGTGAATTACATTACCAACCTATACAATAAGCATTATTTTATTTTAGAACATAAATATCAAAATTTGGGCAACCATTTTGACTTATCTTGCAACATTTGGTTAAAATTGTGTCTGCCGAAATTTAACACTTTTATTTTGCTTTGAAAAATGTTTAACATCAAAATATTGGAATAAACGTAATACTTACACGTGAAATGTTATGTTACAATTTTTGTTATGTTTTTCCGATGTACTGTGGCACCCGTTAATTGCACAAACTTTCATTTTGTATTAAAATTACGAGAGCTGTTAGCACTACAATTTGACCTTGAGCACTGACGCCCGCCGTTCGTCCGCTATGCCAAAATGGCATATTTTTACTTGCCTCACTTTTCTCGGTTTCTATGCGTTATTATTCTAAGGCTTAAAGTATTTCATATATTCAAATCTCTTACGTAAGGAGTTGCACATGGCATCTGGTAAAACGTTTCTTTACCCGATATAAAATTTATACCACTATGGTTGACTATAATGTTACGTGATAAAAGATTTCTCGTTCTCGTGTTCGTATTCGACATCTTCTACGTCTACTGGTTTCCTGTAACAGAAAAAAATCGGTTGTCTGTAAAGTCGGTTTACTGACGATAGTTGAACGTGACAACGTCATAAGATAATACTGATGGAATGGTTGCATTTTTCAGCTGTCCACGCGGTCGCATCGCTCACTCAAGTAGGAGAGAGACAGATGTCGAACGCTGTCGAACGCGGAGGCCGATTGTGCCTCTTTGTCGCTCGTTCCGCGCGAGGTAACGCACGTTCATGTTGTCACGTCAAAATGTACCATACGCAAAATATCAAAAATAATTCAGGTTTCTGACCGCCATTAGTCCTAACAATAGTACAATAATGCCACATAATTTATAATAATATAGCCCATCTTAATGAATCTTCTATTCAATACATTGTTTTTTTTTTGGAAAACGAACAGTTATTCCATAGATTCTTTTTTTTTAAAAAGACAACTTCCGCATTCGGAAAATATCCTGTGTCGCGGGGGACTTTACAAACATACATGAAACGGATACAAAGAACACCCAGACTCAGAACAACAATTTGTAGATCACACAAAGTGTCGTCCCATGTGGGGTTTGAACCCACAACACTCGGCGCAGTAGGAAGCGGCGTGGCGACCGCTTAAACCACTACGCCATAGTGCATTGATTAGCTAGTTTAAACAAAGAACCTATGAAACAAAAAGATTCCTCAGCTTTAATGTATCGGCCTTAGATTATTTTAATATCTAGAAAGAGTGTCGCACTACAAAAAAACAAAAACGAACTGTACAACTTTATTATACAGGGAGCAATTATTATAGTGATAGCGACAACACAGCGACAACGGAGAGGAACTTAATCTTCAACAGTTGGAAACTATTTTTTTGACACTCATAGTTATAACAGTATATCTAGGCATATCAATGCCTTAAGGTAACTACAAAACAGTAATGTTATAGATACCAAGGAAACATGTTAATTCTAAAGTTCTACAATACGTGTATTGGACCATCTTGATCTAATACATGTATGTGTTTTAAACCAGTTTCGAGCTTGAACCATTTTAGGAAAACCTTGTAACCATTTCAACAATCATCAACAGCCTTTGATAGTCCACTGCTTTACATACGAATATACTTAGCAAATAGGTTTTGGCCTATTATACCATGCTGGCCGGGTTGGTATAGGGTTTGTTTCAAGTTTTACTTCTCTTTGCAGTGCTTACGACACCCACGGGATTAATAGGGGTGGTGACAATCCGTATTCTTAAAACGTCACCACACGGACAGTACGCGGATTTAAACAATGGTCTAATTAAACAGAATCCTTGATACTAACCCGCACAATGATCTTTCTCTAATGATTCTCTCACTGTCCGCCAAGGACTGAGGCATGGGAAGACCCTTCGTCTCTGGTAACATAATGCTCATACCAGAGCCAACTATTGCAGTGATACCCAGAATTAAAAGCGGCAGCAATGACCAGGTGATCTCCTGTGGGGCAAATGATAATTAAAGTATTTTGCAGTTTCAGTATTATTACTTATATACTTGTCGAATTGATAATAGTAAATATTAAATAGTAATAGAATGGAACATGGAGTAGTGACATTTGACAGACCTCAAAACCTCAAAAATAACTGCCGAATCCTATAAATATACATTCTCCAATTTTTTTGGCACTAATCCCTTCTATACGCCCACTACTGTAACTCAACAGATACCAAACACACTGAATTATGACACTCGGGAAATCCCAGGGAAAGCTAAGAAGTTTTGGAACCCGCAAGGAAATTAATCAGAAGTAAATTGGAGTCGTTGGAAATATAATAAATCCCCTTCCCTCCTTAGCAAAGCGGGCGACAAAAAAAAAGTGGGAACTTCTAGAACATCTTGAAATATTCTGGAATATTCGATGGTAAAAGTACTAGCAGAAGTCTTACCGAATACACAATAAACGGCGACAAGACAGTAGCAATATATCCACTCATGTGCAAAGTGGCAGATCCACTCGCTCTCACAGGCGTTGGGAGCAACTCAGTCACCCATTGGATCACTGCATTATATGACATATTGATGCAGAACCTTGCAGCTATCGCCAAGGATGCTTGAGGTATACCTGTAATAAATAAATATAAATTACATTCACACTAGGCGTTCATTCATTTAAGGTCTACTACGTACTTTATGTGAATAAGGTAAGTGTGAATTATTATAAAAAATACAAACACACGAGGCTGAAAAGACGTGACATCCCCAGTTTCAGCGGATTCTCATAGAGAGTTATGCCCCATCGATGGAAGATATCTCAATTTATTAAAAACCAAACGGACAAGATCAACCAAGTCGTTTGTTGTCCTAATGTCCTAATAAATCTAATGTCACAAAATTCTCAAAAATGTTCCACCTGCCTTTTTTCTTAGCTTATCGTTACCCAGCCCAATCTGCTTTCCTCATCGAAATGAATCATAATTATGAATCCAAACTCGGAGGATTTAATAGTCGCTGAACAGTTCTACCTCCGAGGTTCATCATTATATCTTCTCTAATATACTAAAGGCCCTTATAATTTAAATGTTTTTAAGGCATTTTCGAATTCTCAGTGATAGTTTCAAAATTAAAATAACTGGTTCTGCTGCACCTCTCTACCAATCCTTGACTCAAATATTTTATTTACTAACGTTGTATTTGTAAATAAGAAACACTGTAAAAAGTTCTTAAGTAACTCACCTTTAGGTACGAATAGGGAAATGACTATCATTATACCACATAGACCCATCGGGACAGCTGTTAGATTCCTACGTCCCCATCTGCGAAAATATAGCGGACAAAAGGTTTGATTTGTGTCATGTCTTAAAACGTGATTTATAATGGCATAAAATGTTTGGCATAAATTTTTAAATGGCATTTTTCATCACTAAGTATTTCAGATTTATCTGATTCTTCATTCTGAATTATTCTATTGATAAACTTAGGCTAATCATCTACTCGTAGTCTATGACAATTCTTTACTTTTACCTGAAGCTTTTGTAAAACTACACATTTTTGACTTCCTATAACACTGTAATTAACTTTATCAACATCTAAAACGAATGTAAATACGCTAAAATAGTTATGTTAGCAATAAAAGGACCAACACTCACCTGTCTAGCAGTATCGTTAATAAAGAGACAGATGGGATCTCCGTAGCCGATGTCAACGTGAATGTGATAAAAAAGTCCAACCCGAAAGCGTTGGACAACCGCACAAGGCCATCAAAAATGATGGAGCAGGCGATATACACCAATAGCATGAGCAGCATAGAGTTACGGATGGCCGCGTTTCTAAAGAGAACCAAGAAGGATTCCCTATTCTGTTTTATTTGGTTCGACGAAACCTGTTAAAAAAGGTGATTAAATACGAAAACATTGGAACAAAGTTTCTTTTAGAATCTTATCAACACTAAGACAATTTTATTAGCTTTCCTTGAAAAAGAAACAATTATGTAAATAGTGAAATAACAAACTAACTAATTAAATATACAAACAAATCTTTAAAGTCAATTTCAACCTTGTTTTAATTATGTCCGCCTATGTGTGTGTGTCGAAACGAAACTTTAAATAAAGTTTAGCATCTTGTGGCACTTTTCAGCGTCTAGTAGATTATTTAATGGTTTATGGTTTTAAAATTAATGGGAAATCAATACTGTGTGTAAAAATACATTTGAAATAATATCATGCGGAACCCTCTCAACACAAGATCAACTTGCACTTAGTCAATTTATCTATTGTGAAATTTCAATTCTCTGGTTATTTGTTAGACATTTTGCTATCTTACAAATAATATGTTGAACCTTTAAGTTTTAATGTCTTTTTGTTATCCTGTTTATTTGTTTCGAGTTAAAAATATGATATATAAATTTAATGTATAATATATCATTTTTTTATCAAATATATCTCTTTTGTTCAAAAGTAGTAAAAATATTAGTAATATGCTTAAAATAATAATCGTTACAACTTACAATAAATTCATCCATGACATCATCGGGAATTTTTGTGCCATTTACTCGTTCGAACCTTCTCAAAACCGTCACAGCTTGACTGACACGACCACGGCTCACCATCCATCTGAAAAAAATAACAAGGTACATATGATTTTGTCACCAATATGTGACAATGGCGTACAAAGTACCTACTAAGTTTTACCCGGTCTCTACAGTCTTGACACCTTACCTGGCACTCTCTGGCACGAAGAAAGGCACGAATATGACGCAAAGCATGGGCAATGATGTGAACCACAGGAGCTTACGCCAGTCGTTAAGCCAAAGTGCAATCCATGGCAGAGACAGACACCCACCACCAAAGTATAGGGCAATTGACATATTAGCCACCCACGTACGGTGCTTTGCACCCACGTACTCCAGGACTGAAATGTTTGTTTCATTATTAATATTAAAAGTAACGCTCAAACAAATTTTATCTCTTAAAAAAAATAGTTCCACAAAGTCCACCATTAGATTATTTTTTTCAAAAACAGTTGATGCCATTTTATTTTCATGTAGGTCTTCAATCTCTTCGAAAGAAGTATTAGCAATACTTTAAAGGATTGATCTAAACCATTTTCTTACGATACAGAAAACATATTAAAAAGGCAGATTTGTTCAACAACTTACAAAAAACATGGAACTCTAATTTTCTTTTCTGTTTTAGAAGAGCGAATAGTATTTGGTTATGGAGTAATATTCGAAGAAGCAATTTCATCAGCTTTTTTACGGATACATGTCATAAATAGCGTCAAAAAGGTAATAACAAACCTAACCTAAAATGTACATCATCATGAAGGCATTGTCGAAGGACATGCCGACAAGAAACCTGCAAAGGATGAAATCCCAAACTTCGGTTGTGTAAATAGTAGCGAGACCTCCCACAGCGCCGATCAAATTCGCTCCTGAAAATTTAACAAATTCAATTTTTAAAAATTACAAAATTTACTCATTTAAAAAAGTGAAGAAACTCAGTCTTCAAATCTTTGAGTATATTCACATTTTTTAAGTTATAATCCTGGAAATCGATTGCACAAGGCGGACCTTATGCCGTATGAACTTTTTGCCTATCAAGTTTTAGGTGTGTTCAACGTGCTTGGCAGGTATAAAAAAGGTAAACAATTTAATGCTACATATACACACATACCTATCCATATACATACATACCTAGATATAAAATAATACCTAAATATAAATAATGAAGGCATTTATTGTTAACGTGACTTTGTCAAGGAATCGCTATAAAGATTCGTGCAAAAATCTTTGAAATAATATGCATGTATTATACATATAAACTTTCTCTTAAATCACTTTATCTATTGATGAAAACCACAATAAATGCCGTTACGTAGGTTGAGAGGTCTAAGCGTACAGGAATGGGAAGCGACTTAGTTTTATAGTATATAAAGATAAACGGTTTAAGTCACGTGTGTATTTCGAAAATTCAAGACTAGTTTTGGATGCTATTAGAAACATTGAAAAAACACAAAGCAATGGAAACACAACCTTCCAACGCAAGGTCTCTATAGCAAAAGATCAAGTGGCAGTATTACCAATCCAGAGCAACGCCTAACACCGTCGCGGTAGGATTTACACTCCTTTATTTTAAGATTTACAAAGGCTCCGAGTCGGGTCCGAAACTTGCCGAGCAAAAATAATTATGTTGAGCCTTACATACCTCTAGTATAACACTGTAAGACCCACACATGGTGCCTAAGTGCTTAACAGATGATTGATAATTGTGAAAATATTATGTTATGTCTTTAGACATCGATTTCATTTTTAATTAAGTTCATAAAGTAAATATTATTTTCCAATTGCTTTAAGGTTGTGGTAAAAATACCCCAAATTTTAAACTATCAGGTATATTTTATACAAATCATCTTTAAGTATTTGGCTTCTTTTTAACGATCAAGCGTGATTGTATCACCATTCACAACATATTAACAAAGTATTTTATTACCTTGGAAATACGGTAGACGTTTATAAATTTAACAAAATAATGAATCAAATTATTAGTTACGTACCTATTAAAGCAGGTATTCTCCCAAAATTATCAGCAAGCCAACCAAAGAAAAGACCACCTACGAAAGCGCCAGCGAAAAATACCGCCTGTGCAGTCGGTGCATAGCTGTCATACTGACAAACCCAGCCTCTCTGGAATACAGTGCAATTCAATTACGCTACAGTATGTTAAGTTACACAAGAGTACGCTTAGGACTATTTTCCCGGGGCATCATAGAAAGCCTTTCCATGATGCCCCGATGATCAATCTGCGGTGTCTTTAATAATAATATTATTTCGGACATGACACAACGCCCTCTAGTTTCAAACTAAGCAGAGGTTGTGCTATGAAGACTAGATTGACTGATGGAATACTTATTTACTTTTTTTGCAGATCTTACATACATTTGGTACGACCAGGGAATCAAACCCAAGACCACAGCATAGCAGTCGCATATGCTACCACTGCACCACCGAGGCAATCAAGTCTTTGAGCTCCAACCTCAAGCTTACAAGGAAGAAAAAATAATGATTAAGAATTAGGTAATTAGATCTTAGAATCGCTTCAAAAATCGCCCATTTTGTCAATATAGTCGAAGATTAAGACGAAGATTGACTGGTTGATTGATTGACTGGTCAAAGAAACCAGGCAAATTTTGGTTAAGAAAACGTACAGGTCGAGGGCTCTAAGGTATGATGAACAGCTTCAAAACTGCCTTAAAGTCAAAACTAACCTCACTAACAACCGTGTGGTACGGGATATCACTGAGCTCAAAATCCCAGCCATGGGGACACGGTATCATTGGTGTGTCTTCAACTGGAGGCTCCATTGTCTCCAGGATCTTGGTCCAGTTTACATCGAAAGTTTTGCAACTCTCCCAATTGCCCCCTGATGTTGCACCGGGAGCTGAGAGATTCCGTCTGAAACATGAACAACGAAGAAATAACAGATGCTGATGTTCTCATAACCATACTTGAGATTGTTGAAATCGATATTTAGTGAATAAAAAATATTTTTTTTTTATTGTATTCATCAAAGAGGTTACTTAATAGAATCCAGAAGTACCGTTTAGCCCGGTTAAGTGAGGTGACGACCAAAGGAGCTTCCATAATGTTACTCAATGTGTGTATTTAGTAAAATGGATTTTATTTTCTTAAGATTAGATTAAAATTATTTGAAATTATTTCGAATAATCATCATCATCATCAACAGCCTTTAATAGTCCACTGCTGGACATAGGCCTCTCCTTAGAAAGGAGGTTTTGGCCTCCTATACCACGCTGGCCAGACGGGTTGGTATAGGGTTTGTTTCAAGTTTTCCTTCATGTTGCAGTGCTGGTATCCTGCGTTGTTTTGCGCCCTTAGTTGGCTCTTACGATACCCACAGGTTGAATTGGAGTAGTGACATTCCGTATTCTTAATCCGTCACTACACGGATACCTCGAAAACGGATACGGAATATTTCGAATTAAGAACTCACATTTAGCGCTAGTTATATCAAAAACAACCAAGAAAGGATTACCAACTGCGCTCAAGCTTCAACATCATTCAAATGAAACTAACCTTATTTCCAAATCTAGGTGCTGTAGCTCTGGAATCTTACACCAATGATTAGATGGGGTGACGGCAATAAACATCTGCACGAAATAAATGAATGCGAAAAAGAAGCCGAACGGCAACATCGCCAGGAACAGAAGTTTCTGATATCGTCCCATGTCTCCCACATGATGGAGAACGGCCTCCAACACATCTGCATCGTTTGATTTCTTTTGCTCTTCATTTGATATCTGAAAACAGCATAAATATAAAGTGTGGTATGATTTTAAATTATAATACTGTTTACTTATTTATAGAGAATCTTTAACAAATGTCATATATACAACAAGAATGTTAAATGATTTCGAACTTATTTTGTTAGAAATGTGAATTGAAATTTTGAAAATTCGAAATCTTTTTATAGAATTATAAAATAAATAAAGAAAATATAAAAAAAAAAATTGAACATTTTTGAACTCTTGTTAATATTTCATATTTTTTAACTCTTGTTGTGGACCAGCCGTACCGTAAGTGTCCACGTTTCGGCTCCGTATGTCATGACGGATCAGCAAGCTGAAATGGCAGTGGGCTGGCCATATTAACCACAGAACCGACAACCGTTAGGCAAAACGAGTTTTTGAGTGGAGACCTCGTCTCGGCAAACGTAGTGTAGGAGGGCCACAGGCCAGGTGGAGTGACGATTTGCGCAAGATGGCTGGCAGGAGCTGGATGCGAGAAGCCCAAAATCGATCTAAGTGGCGTGCAATGGGAGAGGCCTATGTCTTGCAGTGGACTGCGATAGACTGATGATGATGAACTCTTGTTCAATGAAATGTGCCATTTGATAGCCCCGACGTTGCACAGCTATCTGAATATCAAAAAGGTATGTGGAGAATAGTCTAGGGACCCCCAGTGTTGCCAACTGCTACTAAACTAATGTAAGTCGCTTGGCTCCATGTCAAAAGTCGATAGGACTCCGGGCCTTGTTCCGGTAGTCACACAAGAAGCTACCAGTAGCGGATTGAAAGAGGAGTATGGAATATCAACTAACATGTAATATATAAGATACTAATGATAATAATAATATTTATTTATGCAGTCAGTTTCAGTGAAGTTTGCATATCTTTCTATAAAGTGTAAATAAATCTGTTTAGTTTTGACTAATATTCTAATTTTAAAATTGTAAAAATGCTCAGAGATTTGATTCGAGAATTCTCTGAGCATTTTTTCAATTTTTCAATTAGAATACGAGTATTACCGCAGCTACAGCCTGTAACTATGGAAGCCCTTGCAGGATTAAAAACGGCAATTAGTAAAAATATATCATCTAACTTTCAGTAGTCTGCTTCTAACCTAGAAAAATTAGGTATGTTTACTATTCACTATTTATAGTATTCCTATTCAGAAGTAGTTTTATACGAATACTATAATAATATTATTTTATGATGATAATGATATGCAAATACAACCATCCATCACGCGCTTTATTATTGCGTTAAACTGTCGTAAATGTTTTAACTAGACTTGCAACGAATATTCGGTTACTATTCGGTATTCGGCCTATTCGGCTGCTTTTATTATATTCGGCCGAATACCGAATATCTACATATTATTCGGCCGAATACCGAATACTTAAATAATATATTTTGTCATTGAGAAATAATTGGTAAAATGAAAAATTAAAATCGATTGATTACGTATATATTCATATTTTCATTTCTGTTATAATCATTTAAGTAGTCATTGGTGCATAACACAGGTACATAATCATCTTCTGAATAGGAAAAATTGAGGATTCTATGTATTTGAATTATTGTGGTAATCAAAATTTAGAAGGGTAAGGTTCTCATTTCTTTTATAATCATTTATTAAGTAGTCATTCGTACATAAAACAGGTACATAATTTAATTCACGTCTGTACAAGTTTTTGGCGCTAAAATCCAGCCGAATACTTTTGCCTAATATTCGGCTATTCGGTCAGGGGCCTCGCCGAATATTCGGTATTCGGTATACTATCGAATATACTATTCGTTGCAAGTCTAATTTTAACCCCTCAATCCAAATATTATTTTATATGAACATGCTTCAAAAACTGAGGCTAAACACCGCTAAATTATATAAAAACAACAACAACTACATTTCAATATACGCAGTATCTTTTAGCATCTGCTGGCTTACTGCCAAGACTATCTAACTAAATGTTAATATGTCACAGACACCGAATTTGGCACACTTTCAGCAGTCCTTGTTACCCAAATAAAGGTGAGATTTAAGTTTTATTCAATACACTGAAGTGCAAAAAGATGAAAAAATATATTTTCTGGTAGTTCTTGTAATGTATAAAAGACAAATTAATTAGTTTGTCAGCAGCGCAAAGTCACTCAGTTCTTTATTTTCTCCTGAAGTTCTTAAAGCAGCAATGTGAGGTCAGAGTGGTATTAATATTAAGGTTGGTTGGTTTCAAATCTAATATAGTTACTAATATTAAAAAAAAACTACTAAGTATTTGTTGCCAACCTCGGAAAACAATTTTAATAGACATCATAAAAGAGGGTTTTGTTAAACTGCCAAGGCCAAAGAAGCACATGACTGATGCATTTTACAGTTGATAGTTGTTAGTGCATAGCATAGCTCCGGTCAGGCATTATCGCCTAGCTGCGTTTAATTACTGTCTTGACATACGATTGAGTTTAGTCATTGCATCATCGATATAATATTAGATAACACTTCCTCATGCAGTCAAATATAGGTAGAGCTAGTCGAGTTTACAGCTTAAAATTTAGAAACTCACAATATAGGTTTACAAAATAGGCGATTAGGATGGCGTAGTGGTTTACGCTGAGTGTTGTGGGTTCGATTACACTTTGTGTAATTCACAAATTGATGTTCTGAGTCTGGGTGTTCTTTGTGTCCGTTTAATGTATGTTTGTAAAATCCCCGCGGCACAGGATTTATTCCTAGTGCTTGAGTATTCTTTAAAAATATATATAAATATTGTTGAATCCGCTATCAAATCGACCATTTTGAAATCATTATGCTATGTACGTGAACCACATATAGGCCACTATATCAAACAAATTTTAACCTTATCAATGGTTACATCTTCATTTAAGTTGAATGGAAATCGAATATTTTTAATGTGCAAAATTATTTTCGATTTCTTGCAATCTGTAGTGTAAGGTTAGGTAATAATTTCTTAATGTAAAATCTTTCTTTTTAAATATTATATTAGTATTTAAATGTTTACACAGCCAATGCCGTCACTTGAGTTATCGACTAATCCAATTAATCGATTATAGTCTTAAGATTATATTATGATTATAGACTTAAGAGAAATATTTTTAACATGACAACATTTTTGACTTATAATATAGTATATAGTATAATATAATATAGTGGGGATTGGAAGGGGGTGAAAGAAAAAATGAAATGGAGAGCGTGCAGTCAAGTTGGGACGGTCAAAGTGGTGAATCGTACTTACTTATAATTAAGAGTGAATTGTAATAGTGTAAAGTATTCCTGTATTTTATTTATAAAGCTGAAATACAATGGTGGTGTGATTACTTTATATCCTTATCCTATAGATAGATATATATATATATATATATATATATATATATATATACATATATAGGAAGCACCCTTTTTATATCAATATTTCGTTAAAAGGGACGGAAGTATGTAACAGGATGCTGTCCTTTGCTTGAATTGCGAGCATCCGATGCTGTACGTCTTTCATCTACCAAGGAATCGTCACAATCAGCGCAACGGTTTCTCAATATATTGCCCACTATTTGTTTTGGATTTTGGGTAGAATTTACTACATCAGATATAGGTTCTTACGTATATCTCGGTCGGAGCGTCAGAAAATCACGATGAACAATATGAGCAGTATCAACAACATCATTCATGTTATATAAACATTACATGAGAATGTTATGCAGAGATGATCTCAGATTCAATAGGTACTTATAACGCATCCTATTACTACAACTTCAATATTATTAGATAGAACGGAATAATCATCGTCATCATCATCAACAGCCTTTAAAAGTCCACTGCTGGACACTCTCCTGAGAAAGGAGGTTTTGGCCTACTATACCACGCTGGCCAGACCTGTTGGTATAGGGTTTGTGTCAAGTTTTCCCTCTCTCCGTAGTGCTGTTGTTTTTCCCTTATTCGGCTCTTACGACACTCATGGGATGAATAGGGATGGTGACACTCTGTATTCTGTATCCGTCACCACACGGGAACGGAATAATAAACAAAGCAAACTCATTTTTAGGTAATACAACAAATACAGATATGAACAAAGAAAATGCGTTTTTTTTTAGAGTTAAGGGGTATAAGACGTTCACTACAATAGTTTTGCCAATTTCTCTGTTCGACCTGCTGAGTTCAGTAATCAGAGAAAGAGATCAGTAACTACTAGATACTGATCTTGGCTGCAAAGCCAGAGGTATTGGTTTCGATTCCACTCAGGACAAATTATTGTATGATGAAGCATATTTCCTACACGCCGCAGAGACGTTGACAGTGCGCTAGCTGAAAAAGAAGAAGATAGGCGCTCTGGAGATGTGGTGGTGGAGAAAAATACTCGGGATATCGTGAACAGAATTCCGCAACAATGTGTCCGTACTCCAGGAGCGCGGCATACATATACAGAGCGTTTATAAACCACAGTACAGTCGCGTATACAGATAGAGCCATCGCCCAAAGTACTATTAGGGCGATGGCTCTATCTGACAGTTTGCCAATAAGGAGAGATGGCTTCTTCCACCAACGTCATCGGACATTTCAACGTGACCATGACCGCTCTGCCAAGACCGACACGACAGAGAAGAAGAAGAAAGCATATTCTTTTGTTTCGTGTCTTCGTGTGAATTATATGTTATATATATGTTTATCAGCAGTCTTGTTACTATGGCATAGGCTCGGTTTAAATTCAGGATCAAACGGTTTCATAAAAAAATAGAACACTTTGTCTCTTTATTTCGAATTGACTGTTTCCTTGAAATCGGACTTTCTCTAACATTTAAAATCAAATTTTGACCGCAGAACATGGCGGTGAATACGCTCAACTCATTCAACTCATGCTGTGTTAGTTGCAGCCACAGGACCGGATTTTTCTTTCCAGCCACGATAGCGGCCGCAGACCGCAGGTGTTTCAAAAAAGAATAATTAAAAGACGCCATAAGAGCAGTGCAACCGCTTCTACCAAGCAACTTTCCCCATGAAGTAACATCGACCC